GTCCACTAGTAGTGTTGTGTGGCACTTTCAGGTTCACAATTATATCGATAATTTCGTTTTTTTTGTAAATTTGTTCAGCTCAGCCGATAGCTGTACGGCATCACGCTCGGCCGCCATATTGTATTATGTAATATACAGGGTGTTTGAGTTATAGATATAGGGCGACTCGCGGGTAGACCACCCCACTTCTTGTCATACTCAGAGACTGCTATAACACCTAAAGTACGACAGCGGATGACGACTAACATAATACATTCGATATATGATATACGAGGTATACCACGTGACCTTCTTGTGCTCGCTGAACAATCGACAGCCGACAGATGGCTTATGACATTTGATAGGCGGTCGCTACGTATATCGTATACCCGATGCTTGCCGAAAGCGAAACAGAGCAGGCACCTGGCGGATAGACTACTCCGCGTATAGGTTGAGGGTGCTAGGAGGTTATGAAGGCTTGAGGTTAGCCATGTTTAGGTGTGATACTTTGTTGAATAACCTGATTTTTATAGCCCATTACTGAATACAGTTATTTCAATTAGACAGCTAACGCAAGCTCATGATTTCATTCAATATAAAAGACGGTTGAGCTGAATAGCAATAAAAAAATATACAAGGCTAGACCACCACACTTCAGGTGGGCTCGGCAAAGGGATAGCTTACGTATGACAGATGTTTTTTGACAGGGACGTTTGGAGTGGAAGTATTCGAAAACCAGGAATATGTCGAACAACTCTTGAACAAGACACGAAAAAAAGATCGCTGCTCCACCAGAGAAGTACTGGCGAAATATGTGAAAATTTCACTAGTTAAACTCATAATGTAAGGGGTTAGGGGCCTTAGGGATTAGCGATTATACAGAAAAATAAACATGGCAGCGTTCACACAGAAAAAAAAAGTCAACTACTCGATGAGAAAGATTCCTCATAGACCCATAATAGGTCTGAAAATTCTCTATAGATCAATGGCACCTGCCTCGTTTAATTGAAAAAAAGGGAATCATCTAGGAGGAGGGAGGTGATAAGAAGAGCTACCCAATCCCGAATTACTATATATAGAAAAATTGATATAAATACCTACGGAATGAAAGTAATGAATAGGAGCGAACAGCGAGCGATTCAACTAAAAATAAATCGATTGCATATATTCAAACTCAACATAGACGATAACGATATCTCTTATCGCACGTTCCCTCTCGCAAAAATACTACCTCATAATAAAGCAAGAAAATATACAGAGTGAATCATATTTAGGTAATATGAAGCAAATTTATTCAAATTGATGCATTTACAAGTATATACAGGGTGAGTCAATTTCCATAACCACCTGAAGGTCACGCAAACTGTTTTTCCATAACATCATCAGACAATGCGTGATGAGTATCACGAGAAAAAGTTCATAAACGATAAGCATGACCCTTCGAAGTATGACTCATACAGGTATAATATTTCGTTACGCATGCGTGACAACGTCAAGAAATGTATCAAATCAATTTGTGGTCAGTTGTTTCAGCAAGGCATTGGTGTGATGTATTGAGAATAGAGTTAAAATGCAAGTTCCCGTCATGATAGAAATTTCTGCTACATATTCTACTCTGAAAGAGGATAGCATGGTGTTAACAGATCTCAGTCACACGCAAAAAAAATATTATACAGACTATAATGGCTCGTTACTTTTTTTTAAAGTAGAAAGTCTCACCTTGAGTCCTATTTTAAATACTTAACATGATCTTGGTAGGATATCATCCCCAATATGGAGCCAATATCCTACCAAGATGCTTTCTCCTGCAAGCAGTCCTAAAATTATATGAGATTAGAAGAAATACTGCAAAATCAATTTAAAACTCACATCAAAGATATTGGAAGTTTTGCATCGAGGACCATCCATCAGATGGCCTCATCGGACTAATCACTCCTGAAATTATATCAAATTATGAGCATTTCTCTAGAGTCACTCTCTTTGAATGTCCAGTTTATGCTGGTATCAGGGATTGTCGATTATTTCAAGACGTTGAATCTCTTGATGATTTAATATATCTTCTGAATCACGGTGGCCTAGCTGACTTGAAACTCCTAGTACAGGTTCTGATCAATTTGTTGAAGCTCAGATTTTTTGCTGTGAATGAGTAATTTGCATATCAATTATTGTTTCAATGCCTATGTAGGTCCCGCAGGAAGGATTTTTTGTTTTCGTTTTAGCTATAAGTTCTCATGTATTATTAATCACAGATCACCCAACCCTTGTAATAAGAATTGTAATTCTTTTAATACAATAAATCTATCTATCTATCTATCTATCTATCAAATTATGAGCATTTCTCTAGAGTCACTTTACATAAACTCACTCATGAATGATCCCCCCCTCGGGAATATAATTGAAAATTACTTCTCCATCCCTTAGGGGCTAGAGCATCAACGAATCTAAAAATATATTGAATTCATAAACCTAATTGAATTAAATTATGGAACTCACATCCTAACAGGCTCATTAGCCTCCATTTATTGCTCATCATCGCTTCTAAAAAATGTATTAAATTCATAAACCTTATTAAATAAATTTATGAAACTCACATTTCAATAGGCTTATCATCTACCTCCATTTCTTGCTCATCATCGCTACTAAAAATATTTTGAATTCATAAACACCTAACAGAATCAATTTCAGAACTTACATCACTATAGGCTCATTATTAGCATCATCATTGCTACAAGAAACTATATTGAATTCATAAACACCTAGTAGAATCAATTTTCAGAACTCACATTTCCATGTTCTGTTGCTCAGCGATGAGCAGCCCCTCCGCACCATTTTCATTATCTCTAAAATTGTATGAAATTCGTTATCTAGACAAAGCGCTTAGAGATCATAAATAGCTCAATATTGAAGCATAATGGTATATTTCAACCATACGGATCAAATTATGTACTCACACAACTGGAGGCTGATGCCCAAGTTGAGGGGGGAACTCCCTCAACACCCAATTTGCCCATGCAATAATTTCTGCATCAAAATCATCATCAGATTCATATCCTGAATCATACGACATTTTCTAGAATAATTATGTTTTGTGAAATAATAATAATAATAATAAAAATGTATTCATCCTTTTTGATTACAAAGAAACATGATATAGGATATGTCAGTGGAAGAAAGTTCTCGTCAGAATAAAATAACATTAAGAACTATATATTAATATGAAAAATATAAATAAATCACAATACAGTAACTTCTGCTAAACATCTTACATTTGTTGTTTGAAAATTCATATGTATCAAAGAAACATTCGTTGCATAGGAACTTTTTGAGTTTATGTTTGAATAAATTGAAGTTGTCTTCCAATCTTATACAGACCGGCAAATGATTGAAAAATTGGATTCCCTTGTACATTGGGCTTTTTTCATATAGACTTGTTCCGTGTTTGGGTGGAGGGGTCTCATGAGGTTTGAAGATCGAGTAGGATAGTCGTGATAGTCTGAGTTGAAAGCAAAATCTTTGTAATTACTTTTGGCATAAACTATGCATTTGTAGATGTAGATTGAGTGAAATGTGAGAAGCTCATATTTTTTCAAATGATTTCGACATGTTTCTCTATTGTCTAAGTTGAAGATTAAACGAATCTCTTCTAAGAAATGAAAACTCTGGACGCGCCGACTGCGCTACCCCAGATAATGAAATTGTACGAAAGATGCGAGTAAACGATAGCATAGTATACATTGAGCAATTGGCTCTTTGTGAAGATATCTTTCAATTGCAGTATAGCAAAGTAACCACTATTCAGTTTCTTGCAAACATGATTAATATTCGTATTCCAACTCATATTATTGTCCACAAATACACCTAAAAACTTTGTAGACTTCGAAAAAGAAACTTCGATATTATTTACTGAAAGAATGCTACTTCCAGATATTCCATTTCTGGTGAAAATCTGCATACGAATGGTTTTGGCAGAATTAACAATCAGAGAATTCCTTCTACACCACGAGGTAAATTCTCTAGACAGAATATTCATTTTCGAAATTAGTTCTTCCGCCGACTCAGCATCCGTTGCCAAAGTGGTATCATCAGCATATAAAATCAGATGTTTCGTGCTGACGTGATTTGGGAGGTCATTTACGTATAGCAAAAAATCAAAGGACCAAGAAAATGAATTCAGACATGAAATACTATAGGTAATCGAGAAAAAAGGGGTACTTACTATTATTGATGATAATGCAGACACTAACACTCAGAATATTGAATTCATCAAAGAATCAGGAGAATGAATAATAAATTCAGTTTCGCCTATTTATACTGAAATAGACATGAAGGAAATGTTGAATATATAAAAGATAACGATGCACCGGTGGTTTATGCATTTTACACCAATAGATAATGATTATTTCATCATAAACCTTAATATATTATGATTAATAAACATGGCTTTGACATACTTCCTGAATATCTCCCTATATATATCCGGCGATATCCATCCATAGATTGCTGTTATCTGTAGTCACATAACGACATTCGTGGGAAATGCGAGAGAATTATATTGCTGTTATCTGCAGCCACATACCGACATTCGCTGGAAATGCAAAAAATTTAATAGCTCCGGAGGTTTGAAATGTGCTAGCCGTATCTAGACGGATAAATATCTCCGTATATGTATCCGTCGATAGCCGTCCATAGATTTGCTGTTATCTGTAGTCACATGCCGATATCCGTTGGAAATGCGAAAAATTCAGATTGCTGTTATCTGCAGCCATATGCCGACATTCACGGGAAATGCAAAAAATTGAATAGCTCGAGAGTATAAAATGTGCTAGCCGTATCTAGACAAATCATTCGATACCATTCTTTTTTTCGAGTCGGGCATGGCTAGCAGCGAGTAGTCAAGTAACGTACGCTCCCAGTGTTTATTGAAATAAAGTAGTGAAAACGTCTGAAGATAAATTTAAAATCGTGAACAATAGTTAACTATAGTGAGCCCAACAAAAGTATAAAATCTAAATCTTGAAATAATGGTCTTAACACGAGAAATTACGGAAGAAATCAAAAATGCAGTTACAACAGCTATGGACAAAATTTTAAGAGACCAAAGGTTCACAAAAGCAATCACTGATAACGTGGCAGAGGCAGTCATTAAATCGGTGGAAAAAAACCTATTGGAACTAGAACAAAAACTAGGAGACCACAAAAACGATATGCTGGAAATGAAACGAGATAATGAGTCAACACTAAATATACTGGATGTCTCAATAAAGGAGTTGATCCATGAAAAGGATAGTTTGATACAAAAATATGATAACATGGAACAGGAAACAAGAAGAAATAATCTACGAGTGTTCAACTACGAAGAAAGAAACAGGGAGGAAACAAGGAAAGAAATTATCACTCTCTTTAACCATAAGCTGGCAACAAAACTAACAGAAGAAGATATTGAGATATGCTACAGAATTGGAAAAAAAGAAGACAACCACCAAAAACCCAGGGGTATCTTCCTCAAACTGAAAAATTATGATGTGAGACAGGACATTTACAAAAAGAAAAAACTCCTAAAGGGAACTGGCATAATGATAAGAGAAGATCTAACAAGAATTCGGGTTGAACTACTTGCGAAAGCAATTGACAAAGCTTCAATTGAAGATGTATGGACTGATGCCGGAAAAATATATGTAAACAGTAATGGAAAAATTTCTATAATAAGGTCCAAAAGCGATTTTGACAGAATTTTCGGAATTAACTAAATATCTAAACAATCACAATAATTACTGGTAGAGTAGAATTTCATTAGAAATACTTATTTATTTTGGAACTGTTTGGCAGATATATATCATACTCTATATTTAATCTTATTGTATTTCATTTTCTCCAATTATAAAGATTTAGCTATATTCATTGTTTGGTATGTTAGAATTTCTAAATATACTAGATTCTCAAAAGGAAATTGAAACAAAAACATTCTCTTACCTCGAAGAATGTATGAAAGAAGTTGAGAGTGGTGAAAAAGTGGGAAAATTAGGTATTATTCATTTCAATGTAAGGAGCATAAAAAAAACTTGGATCAACTGCTGCTATACCTAGAACCAGAAATTGACAAAATAGATGTGTTGGTTCTGTCAGAAACTTGGAATATTGATTCGGTGAGTGATTTTCAAATACCAAATTTTACAATCTATTATAATGAATCCCAAATCAATCAAAATGATGGCTGTGTTATCTATATCAGAGACACAATATCAGGTAATGCTGAAATAATCCCATTGACTGAAACAAAATTGTTACGTATTACACTATCCCAGAACAACAACAATAGTATAGGCATCACTGCATCGTATAGACCCCCGTCAACAAATATGCCACTATATGTGGATGAATCAAACCAATATTTATCAAAAATTCCTAGAAATAAAATTGAAGTATTCATAGGAGACATTAATATAGATTTACTGGATGAATTCTCCAATAACGTGAATAACTACGTGAATCTCTTAACTGGGCAGGGTTTCGTCTCATATATAAATGAAGTAACAAGGTTAATGGATCAAAAACACAGCATTATCGACCATATTTTTGTTAGAAAAGATAACTCTGCACATCAGGTTTCTATTTCATCGGCTGTAATTGAAACAAACCTCTCCGATCATTTTACAACATTTTTATCACTAGCTAGGAAGCAAAAAAAAACCACTCCACCCGATACAAAGTGTAAAACTGAGATCAAGAAAAAAATTGATGTGGAAAAACTGCACAGTTATTTGTGTAATGAAACTTGGGAAGACGTTGTAAAATGTAAAGAAAGTCAACTTTCTTATGATATGTTCATGAAAAAACTGATTAACTACATAAACCTCTCAACACAAAATCTCATTGTATACATAGAAAGAAAATACAAACTGAAACCATGGATAACACTAGGCTTAATAAATTCAATCAAACATCGAGACATGTTGAAGAAAAGACTCAGAAAATCAGATTCAGAAACACTTCGGCAAGAGTATAATCGATACAGAAACAAATTAAACGGATTGATAAAGACAACAAAAAATCAATATTATAAACAGAAACTAAATACCTCAAAAGGAAACTGTAAAAAAATGTGGGAGATAATAAATGAGATCTCGAATAATAATGTTTATAAAAGGTCTATAAGTAGTACTGATATTAAATTACCAAATGGAAATATAATAGTTGATGATGAAAAATAAGCTGAGGCATTTAACAATTACTTCGTTGATATTGCTTCAAACATGGCCAGAAAAATAACTAAACCAAACAATATACCCGATAAATTTCTAAACGATATCTCTGTAGGCCTGACATTATTTCTTGAACCAGTTACAGAAAAAGGAAATAATAAATATCATATCAGATCTCAAAAACAATTGTTCTCCGGGACCAGATGGAATAAAGTCAGAAATAATTAAAGATATACATCTACATATAACAGCACCATTAGTACATATCATAAACCTCACATTTAAAAATGGAATTGTACCAACTCAATGGAAAGAATCGATCGTTACACCTATTTACAAGGCTGGAAATAAATGTGAACTGGGCAACTACCGCCCAATTTCTGTAATTGATAACTTTGCAAAAATTTTTGAACGATGTATGAAAACGAGGTTAGTTAATTTTTTTGAAAACCATCATGTAATAACTGCAAGGCAATATGGGTTCATAAAAAATTCTAGCTCTGAAAATGCAGTACTTGACTTCACAAATGAAGTTATTAAAGCACCGGACAGATCTGAAAAATGCTTAGCAGTTTTTTTGAATCTGGCCAAGGCATTTGATACAGTGTCGCATGATGAATTAATGAATAAACTGTATAATTATGGAATTAGAGGGCTAGCATTAAATGTTCTGCAGAATTATTTCTCGAACAGAAGTCAGAGAGTCAAAATTGACAATGAACTAAGCACATCACTGAAAATCACCACTGGTGTGCCGCAGGGAACAGTGTTGGGACCGATTCTGTTCCTTGTGTATATCAATAGTATAAGCATGATAAACGGCTTCACAGGTCACATTATTTCTTACGCTGATGATACGGCACTAATATATACCGGTGAAACTTGGGCTAATGTATACGATAACGCAGGTAAAGGATTAAGAGCAATTCAAGTCTGGCTTGATGATAATATTTTGAGCCTAAATGTCAAGAAAACCAAATTTATCGCATTCACCTTGACAAGCAGTGATCAACCAAATTTAAACTCATTACAAATACACTCCCCTAACTGCACCAATGAAGAAACTTGTTACTGTCCAACAATTGAAAAAGTAGCTTATATTAAATATCTAGGATGTTTCCTAGACCAGCACATGGGATGGGACGAACATGCCAGCTACGTAACAAAAAGACTAAGACAACTAACATATAAATTCTATAATCTGAGAGAAATCATGTCAAGGGAGAACTCATACACCATCTACGTCTCACTTGCAGAATCAGTTATCAGATACTGTATTACAGCCTGGGGAGGTATGTTTGATAATGTTATATATAGCGCTCAGACCATGCAAAACACAATACTGAAAATTCTATACAAAAAAAATAAATTATTCTCTACTGAGAACCTATATGCAGAAACCAACCTACTAAGCATACGAAGCTTATATGCCTACCAATGCTTGGTATGGATGTATCAAAATAGAATAAGATATCAAGTCTCTGAACATAAATACAATACACGCTTCACACAAAATTTATCTCTAAATCTACCATTATATAGAAAAACACATACCCAAAGGAATATTTTTTTTTTTGGTCCAAAACTGTATAACCTTCTGCCAGTAGAATTGAAGAGAATCAATAAATTGAATAGGTTTAAATCTGACCTCAAAAAATTCATTCACCATAATCACGAAATGTTAAAAAACATTTTCTGAACCAATAAGAAACAGCAGTTGATTCAACTAACTCAACTTCTAAGCTTCCAAAATGTCTCCCAACAACTTTTTCTCCACTGTTATTACATAAAGAAAAGCACTGTTAATTTAAATTTTTTATACCATCAATAAATGTATATGTATATATAGATCAGCTACTTGGTTGTAGGTCAATAATATAAGATGTTATTTGTTAACATACCCTGCTGAATTATAGACGTCTGATACAAGACAAGCACTTGAGTGCTCAGGTGAAGCGTCTTGACTCAGCAGAGTAATAAAAATGAATTGATCTTTATATGGAATATGTACTTTAACAACAATGAATAAATTGAATTGAAAAAAAAATTGAAATTGAACGCATCAAGTTTTCGAGTATCTTGAACAGTGTTCAACACCAATTGACAATCATTTACTGCTTGTGCCTTTTATCTTGAATAAAAGTAAGTTTTTATATTTCTATAGCGCTTGAAAATATCGGCCAGATAGCCGTGCGGACAAAGTGTCAATATTGATAATCAGCATTCGCTTACCGGCCGTGGGTTCGATTCTCAACGACTACAGAAATTTTTCTGATGGCCAAAGAAAGTGTTTTGGGATCACACGTTGAAAGGTATAAGGTCCCTGTCATTCCTTGCTCGCACAAGTCTCTTGAAGACTTCTGAGGGTTGCTCGTTAGGGGGAGTAACCGAATGAAAGATAGAACAATTTTAGAACAATTTTAGTGGAAATTATTTTTTGTTTTTTCGAAACAGAACATTCATCAGGCCATCGTGAATATTTATTTATTTATTTATTTATTTATTTATTTACTTAAGTACACTACAGAATTCGATAAAAATTCCAATTGGTACAGTATAGAAGACTATGACTATACTAACGAGCAAACAAACAAAACAAAACATCAAAAACAAATAAAAACTAAAATACTAAAGTATATGTGTACAAGTATATCATATACATAAAACGAGATAAACATATAGGTACATATTGGGAAAGAGGATACAAAGTAATTACTTTTCCAGACATTTAGGTAGTATTAGTGAAGTGGGATTTGAGTTGTTTCATGAATACTTGATTAGAGACATTGAATATATTTATTGATGAGTAGTGGAGATTGTAGTTTTCTTGAAGTCTACAACAGAAAGCAGTACGACCATAATTAGTACGGTGGGTTTTCACGTAGAAAGTGTGACAGGTTCTCGTAGCCCTAGGATTGGCGTGAAATGATAATTTTACCAATATTTCAGGGCAGTTTATAATACCATTTACAATTTTGAATAAAAAGTTTGTCATAGCAATAATTCGTCTATCTTCTAAAGTTTGAAGATTCAACAATGAAATTCTAGTTAGAGGGCCGAGATCATGGAAGGAAAGTCCAAGTTTCCAAACAAGAAAATTTGTGAACCGACCTTGTACTCTCTCTAAACGACTCTTGTGACAATTGTATACTGGTGACCAGATGATACTATTATATTCAAGAACGCTCCGAACAAGTGAAATATACAGCGTTTTGATGGCATCCTGATCTGAGATATTTCTAGCTTGCCTCTTTATAAAACCCACCATTCTGAGAGACTTATTGCAGATATTGTTGATATGATCATTGGAAGTGAGTTCTTTGTCATATATTATCCCCAAATCGCTGATACTAGCTACTGTTTGCAGATCGACTTCATCAATATTGTAATTGTATATACATGGATTCAGTATTTTATAATAACGCATGATTTTACACTTATCAATATTGATTTTCAAAAACTTCCGCTGGCAATAATTGCTAAAATTGATTAGGTCATTCTGAATCAAATGACTGTCATCTTGAGATGATACAACTCTGTAGAATTTG